CCCCCGCCGCTGTCTATCCTCCCAAATATCGCCTCGGATTCACTTCTCCGCAGGTCCTACCTTCCAGCAAGTGGTTGCTTTTCTGTTCAGAGAGTTGCTGCTATTCTTTTCTTGGATCTCCTGTTGAGTTCGTAGGTGTTCAGAATGGTTTGATCCCTATCTAGCTTAATTCCTGGGACCAGATGAAATTTAGGTCTTCTCCTCCTCTGCCATCTTGCTCCTCCCCCTCCTACTGCCCTGACTTCTGCTGGAATCATTCCTTTTCTTTTGTGTCCTTAAACAATATATTGCTGGTTTGCCTCTCTTAGAAAATTTTATAAGTGGATCATACTGAATGTATTCTCTTGTGAATCATACCATATATGTTCTTCTGTCACTTTTTAAATGTATAACTCATTTCTTTCTTTAGGCTGGAAAAAATGAAAAAAGAATATAGAAATCTGAATACATGGATTGAAAAAGCTAGCTATTTAGAAGGAGTTCTTACCCCAAAATTGGCCCATAGCGAACATAAGGTAATTAACATAATACATTCTCCATATATAACTTCTAATACTTTTTATTTTAAAAAGATTATAATAAAAGTGATGATATTGCTTATTCTTGATATATAAAATGCTGTTCATGGTTCATGTACTTTCCTATTTTGCTAATGTGACATTTGATAAATATTGACTAATAATTTAAGATTTAGTTTTTTAACAGCTTTAAGATATAATTCACCTATTCAAAGTATACCGTTCAGTGGTCTTTAGTATATTCACAGAGTTGTATGTCCATTGCTACGATCAATTTTCAGATATTCTCATTAGCCCCAAAAGAAACTCCTACCCCTTAACCAAACCTCCCAGAAACCCCATTCTCTAGACAATAGTCTACTTTCTGTTTCTATAGATTTGCTTATTCTAAACATTCCATTTGAGTGGAATCATACAATATACGGTTCTTTGTGACTTTTGCTTCTTTCACTTAGCATAGGGTTTTCAAGGTTCATCCCCATAGTATGGGGATGAACAAAATATCAATACTTTGTTTCTTTTTACTGCCAAATAATATTCCACTATATGGATATGTACCACGTTTTGTTTATCCTCATCAGCTGGTGGACATTTGGGTTGTTTCAACTTTTTAGCTATCATGAATAATGCTGTGAACATTCATGTGCAGGTTTTTATGTGAGCGTATGTTTGTAATTCTCTTGGGTATATACCTAGGAGTAGGATTGTCGGATCATACAGTAGTTCCCTCTTTAACTTTTTCAGGAACATCAAACTGTTTTCTTTTGCTTTTCTTTTTTTTTTTTTTTTTTAAGATTTTATTTATTTATTTGAAAGAGCACGAGCTGGGGAAGAGGGAGAAGCAGGCTCCCCACCAAGCAGGGAGCCCAATGCGGGGCTCGATTCCAGGACCCTGGGATCATGACCTGAGCCGAAGGCAGACGCTTAACTGACTGAGCCACCCAGGCGCCCCTCAAACTGTTTTCCATAGCGGTTGCACAATTTTACATCTAACCAGCAATGTATGAAAGTTCTATATCTTCTCCACCACTTGTTATTTTCCTTTTTTGTTTGTTTCAATTATAGCCATCTTAATGGGTTTGAAGTGGTATCTCATTATGGTTTTGATTTGCATTTCCCTGATAACCAATGAGGTGAACATCTTTTCATGTGCTTACTGGCCAATTGTATATCTTCTTTGGATAAATGTTTACTCAAATCCTTTGGTGTTTTTTTTTAATTGGGTTACTTGTTTTTTTATTGTTCAGTTGTTAGAGTTCTTTATATTTTGAATACTAGACCTTTATCAGATATATAAGTAGGTTTAATATTTAGAAATACAATCTGACCTATACATTTTCACCTGGCAGTAGGGATTTATAGGGGTTTCAGTGAATTAATAAAACATTACTGAGATCACAGCCTTGAAATGGTAGTCATGACATACTGATATATTAATGTTTTTCAGTGCCTTGTTATAATTTGGCATAGTGGTACTGCCTTAGGATAAATTAATTAGCACTTATATAGAATTAGTATTTTAGGGAAAATTTGAGGGGCTCTTCATTAAAGGAACTATGGACTTTGGGTTCTTATTAAAAGATCAGTATTTTATAAGAGTCAGTGATCACTCTACCTTATAATTCCTCTTGGAATTTTTTTTAAAGATCCACATCACTTTGCAACTCATAGGTCATAATGTTTTCCAATAAAAAAGTAATAGTTTTCTTGGGGTATCCTCTTTTATCCCTTGAAGTTACAGTATTATGTCATTTATCTCATAATCTTTTTCTCTTACACATTTGTCACTCAAATACCCTATCAATTCTTGGATAGCTTCTCTCTGGAACATTAACTCCTAGCCAGGGTATGCTTCTCTTTAAAATAGTGTTGTTTAGATGGTTTTTCTCCTAAACCCATATTCTTCCGTAAATTTTAAAGAGGGTAATAAAAGAAGTTATAAAGGCAGATTGGCTCTCTAAACATTTCTCCAATATCTTTTTTTTTCTTGTTTCTAGGAAATTGATACCAACCAGTTACTAAAAAGCCTACATGAAGAGGAGTCTGAAGTTTTTGAAACATCAGGTTAAGAAACTAATTGACATTTGTGTTTATTAGATAATTAAAAAGAGGGTAGTTGTATCACAAAAAGAATTAGTAATTTGCTTTAAGTGGATTTCATTTTTTGTTGGAAATAAATATGCATCTCATAGTCTTAGTATATAGTATTTATTTTGTAACAGTACAAAGAAAAGACTTTGACCCAATTAAGAGTTTTTTTTTAAGATTTTATTTATATGAGAGAGAGAGAGACAGCATGTGCATGAGCAGGGGATGGGGCAGAGGGAGAGGGAAAGAATCTCAAGCAGACTTTGCACTGAGTTTGGAGCCTGATGTGGGGCTTGATCACAACCCTGAGATCATGACCTGAGCCAAAACCAAGAGTTGGATGCTTAACCAATAAAACCACCCAGGTGCCCAAGAGTGGTTTTTTTTTTTTTTAATGTTCAAATCTTATCTATGAAAAAGTATTTTTCTTAAACATTAGCTGTAGGGCTATTGGTCTCTTTTAAGTAGAGGTGTGTGTGTGTTTGTGTGTGTGTGTGAAAGGAAGGAGGACAGAGAGAGGGAGATGGTAAATTCAATTAGCATTAAATTTGAGAACTTATCACAAATTATCAGTAAGATAATGGAAGATATTATTTGGCAGTCTTTTTTTTTTTTTTTTAAAGATTTTATTTATTTATTTGACAGAGAGAGAGAGACAGCGAGAGAGGGAACACAAGCAGGAGGAGCGGGAGAGGGAGAAGCAGGCTTCCCGCCGAGCAGGGGGCCTGATGCGGGGCTCAATCCCAGGACCCTGGGACCATGACCTGAGCCGAAGGCAGACGCTTAACGACTGAGCCACCCAGGCACCCCTATTTGGCAGTCTTTTTTTTTTTTTTTTTAAGATTTTATTTATTTGAGAGAGAGAGAATGAGAGAGAGCACGAGAGGGAAGAGGGTCAGAGGGAGAAGCAGACTCCCCGCTGAGCAGGGAGTCCGATGTGGGACTCGATCCCGGGACTCCAGGATCATGACCTGAGCTGAAGGCAGTCGCCCAACCAACTGAGCCACCCAGGCGCCCTATTTGGCAGTCTTTTAAAAAAAATCTCTGTTAAAAGAGTCATGGAAAGTAAGTTAAAATAGTTGCATAAACTGTATCTGTAAAATCTTGGATTCTACAGGTGTGGAATAACGACTTACTGTTACAGGACTTGTGCCACAAGTTACGTCTCTACTTCCCCTATTTCTACTTCCTGGCTACCTCAGCCTTTGATATGTTCATTTCCTAACCTCTGAGAATCAGCCAGCCTAGCAGAGCTATGCTGTCTTTAGCCTACTCTTTACCTGGAAATGTTTAATTTCCAGGTATAGGAGAATCACAATTTCCATCTTCAGTATCACTATTGAAGATTTGAGGTTAACACGCCTCAGTCATTGTTGGTTACCAACTTTTTTTTTTCTCATCTGAAGAGTTTGTTTCAAGTCTAGTGACTTCTTTTTTCTGGTATTCCTATAGTTTCTTATAGCTTCAGCTAACATTTATTGACCACTGTATTGCAGGCCTTCACCTGGATCATATAAATCAGCCCTCATAGCAGTCAGTTGAGGGTGCTATTATTTATCCATATTTTACAGATGAGAAAGCTGAGGATCAGACAGATTAACCAGTCAGAAGTCACACAGCCATCAACTGATAGGGATTAAATTTGAACCTTGTCCATTCGACCCAAGAGCTTAAGCATTTAACCATATTGCTGCTCACATCTTATATATACTTAATATCAGACCTGTAAGATAAGCCATTATTAATCCTATTTTACATATGAGAAAACCAAGGCTCCAAAAAATGGGCTAAGCTGACCACAGTCACACAGCTAATGACCATAATAAATTTTGTGTTATACTAGACTTAGCACATTCCTTTGTATCTCAGTTTTTTATTCCATCTCTCTTCCTTTAAGGTTTTCCTTTTCTACTTGCTAAATATGTAATCTTTATATTTGTAGGAAAATTTTACGTGTTTCAATCAGCCTCTCTTATTTTTTTTAATTTTATCTTATGTTAGTCACCATACAATACATCATTAGTTTTTGATGTAGTGATCCATGCTTTATTGTTTTCATATAATACCCAGTGCTCCATGCAGTACATGCCCTCCTTAATACCCATCACCAGGCTAACCCATCCACCCACCCCCCCCACCAACACCC